CCCTGGTGTGGTGGAGGATTCCCCTGCCTATGGCAGGGGGGTTGGAACTAGATGATCTTTAGGGTCCCTTCCCTTCTATGATTCTATGATAAATCAGTTTATTTCAACATTAATTATTTCAGCAGACCTAAATATTAAAACTATTATCAGGTATGAAACAAGTGCTTCATAGTCTAAGCATCAGCCAGAATCCATAGAAACAAAAGTCTGAATTCCAAGGATGTTAATAATCTTTCTGGTCCAATTAATACACTGCCTTTCATGTAGTTTACTATGTTTGATTTGGAGCCACTATGGACCTGTTTGTATTAACAGATGTAGCTCATAACACAGAAGTTTTTTGTATCTTTGGTTAAATTACTGCATTTCGTCCGAGCATATTCAGTGTTTTTTTCTGGCCTAATTCTATCTGCAAGACTTTCTAATGGATATGTGAAATGTTAGATATTAATTAAAAAGTTGTGACTGTCTTACTTAATACTTACAATCCAGGTAATTACTGCCTTCTGTAATTAAAACTGTGAAAGGTATTGTCAACTTTGCATAGTTGACATGATGTCATGAAGGAAATTATGTTGTGGATAACCCCGTTTTTCTGTTACAATCTGTAGGACATGTCTATGCTCAATACCAACTGCTCACAGAAACTACAGCAAGGGCTTACAAAGAAAAGGCAGGTCCTACAGATTCTTCATGTCATTTTGTATGATCTCTAGCACAAGAGAGCCATATGTTTATACAAAAGCCATAAACAAGAAAAGCCAGACCAAGTCAGCTCATAAAAGGTTTTCAGAAGGGTGTTGGTCGACTTCTCTGAATCAGTTCTGGTGTCGGTAAACTAGGGAAAGCTTGAACTTTGTAGGAGTTTTATCAACCCACAAAAATCAAAATGATTAAGATTGTAATAATAAGCTCAGAAAAAGATTACATTGATAAATCAACTTAATATGTTTCCAAGAAGTTGCTCATACAACTAGTGCATTTCCAGATATGATCCTCTCACCTACTCCAGAATCATATTTCAAGGAAACTCAATATACAGAATTTTTTGAAAGATGATATAAAATACCAGATTTTGTTAAAATATTTTTAAAATCCTGTTGTGTTTATCCAGTAGCATTGAACAATTTCTTTTGACATTATTTTGCTGTGTTATTCTGAAATCTTTTTTAGCAATGTATAGGAAGTTTTTTTCATTTTTTCTCATTGAACAACCTCAGTAACAGAACAAGCTATAAAGGACTCTGAGAGGCTCATGGGAGATCAAGGAGAAGTTTAAATGGAATACAAATAAAATGGAAACAAAAGATAAAACACATGAACTTCATTCAAAACAGCATGTGTTTCGGTTGTTGCTTGATTGGCTTTGACAAGGTAAAGGAAAAAATATTTAGTATAGACCTATGACAGATCCTGCATGGTCTGAACCAGATCACAATCATTCCTTGTTTAAACTGTATTAGAGCTGAAGAAGGACATGGAGAGACTTCTGTAATACTTTTCAAAGACAAGAATGTTAATAAGGGGGAAGCAGAGGTCAAATTTTTGAAGTGCAAAGTCAATTCAAGTTAATGGAAACAAAATGATGTCAGCATACTGGAGAGAAGAGACTACAAATATACACCGGAGAAATTCATCGTGGATTTCCTTAGACTTTTCTATGCCATCCAGGCTGTGTGTACAGGCTGAGGCTGTATTTACACGGATTTCCAAAGCCACACGGCCAATCAAGTTCTTAGGAACAGCTGCAGATACTGAAAGACATGAACTGTTCCTACAAACACAATATCCAATAATATGTGATTGCATCATTGGATTAGGTGTCAGTCCCAAGCAGAGCTTTACAGGAGTCTCAGATTAATATAGCCAGATATTTGATATTCCTCCACATCCATCTACGTAGATCAGAATAGTTTATGCAGTCTAGCTGTTTGAAAATATCTGCATACTTGCTTAAATATTCATTAAATTCAACTACAAAAATCTCTATTTTATTGTGATTTAAGCCTCCTGCTCAGTTTGCTTCGGTGGTACAGAACACTACATAAATCCTAAGAAAGTGTGAATCAAAAAATCTAGCCTATCTTTCAAGAGAAAGGATGAGAATCCACAAACTAAAAGGATTCTAAGCAGAATTACAGATGTTTCTAACTGAGCAATAGAAAGTCACGAGTAATGTGTAGTTAGAGTGCTATGTTAATCATCAGTTCCACAACATGTTGCAATCCAATACTTGTTAAATATCCTCTATGAAAAGCAGAATCTGTTTTTATTGAATGTCTTGCTGATGCTTCCAGGCTGTGGCTATTTTTCACTATATATATTTCATTCTGCAACAGATACTACAAACCTTGAAACACGCCATATTTATTTTCTTTCCAAGAAACTTGAGAAACTACCAGAAACTCTTACACTGCAGTTAAGGGTGGGGAGAGATAGAGAAAAGGCTTGCTTACTAGGCTGAAAAGAATTAAAAAATAATTCACAAGACTGCATGAATTAACTTAACAGTGCAAGTTAATGCCAGCAAAGACAGAACGTGCACATTTTCACTTTTATATTGCTTCTGCAGTTAAGTAATTGGAAACTGCTACATATGGGAAGGTTTTAAGCAAGATGAGTGCATGAGGAAGACAGCCCATTTTAGCTAAGCCAAGCTTTCAGATGAGTAGGCTTTATTAAAACGACTGATGTTTTTCCAGATGGCTTTACCAGCAGCATGCAGGCAACATACCTTCTCAGGAAGTCTTACGTTGTCCTTGAATGCAATTTATTTGGTTGGACTATAGTTTAACTATATCTATGGTTTGAAAAGTTATGAGACAGGATGAAAGATTTGAAGAATTAAAAGGAAATAGGATGTTGCATACAGTCAGAGAGCACAAACGTCACTGCAGAATGACAGAGCAAATGTGTTTTGTTAAAATAGGAATTAGGAAAGGAGGACTTGGAGCTGTGATATTAGCTGTTCTTAATATATTAGATTTAACTGTACAGGGCTTCCTGGACAAAGAAGTGTGTAGTCAATGATTATCAGCAGTGGGTAACAAAAGTTAGATTTGTGTATCTTGCACACTCCTGGTCATACAGTGTCTTCTGTTGATACTATCCAGAAATCACTGGGCAGATGAGGAGGAATGGAGGGAAGATCAACTATTCCCAGTTTCTCTGTATAAAAGCCAGAAAACTACTCTATCAAACAAAGACATTTGCAGAAGATGAAACAAAACCATTTTCCATTTCCCTAAGATTTGTATTAATGCAAAAGACTATCCTGCGTACTAAAAATGGCAGTTACAGAAGAAAAGGTGTAGTTTTGTGCTTCAGTTTAGCTAGGCATATTCTCATTACTGTTAATCCTATGAAACAGTCTGAGAAATTTGTGAAATCTGAAGGGAATATTGCTTTCATGTCTGTGAAATGGACACTGAATATTCCAAAGTCTTTCTGCTATTTCTTCTAATAAAAGGAAAACTGAAGCTGGGCCATGTTCATACTCCACACCCAATGTAATTTCTTCTTGTGACACTTATCTCCAACTCCAAACAATGGAACAGCAGACTGTGAGCGGCTTTAGGGATGTGCAACATTCATGGGTTGAAAATACTTTCTACTCCATGTGAAATGGCGAAGCTGTTCTGAAGAGGTAGCTTTATAACTTCATCTTCATTTGTGCAGGAAAGCATGAAGCACCTGAAATGAAATCCCTTACACTGTAAGAAGATTTTATTTTGATTTTATTTTTGCCAGGACTTCAGATACCAGAGTGGCTGAAGTGTCTCTAGATGGAAGGCTTTATTCTTATTTACATCAATATTTCTCTGGATGTGGACTACAAATCAAAATACATGTGTGTCTTCTGACATGACATAGGTCTATGTCATCTGTCTATGTTGACATTGTCTTGCAGTACCTTTAAGAGAGGGGTACACATTGTCCTGATCCAAAGTGAAATAAAATAGGAAAATCCTTTTACAGTCCAGGTTTGAATGTGGTGCAAGAAATATTTTCTATTCCTCTTAAGAGTGTCAGTAAAATCTCTTACTTAGTTTTGAACACGTAAACTAAATAAACTATGATCTAAAAATGGTCCATGTACTGGGTCTTAGCTGGACAATATGTTCTGAGTTGTTTTCAGGGATTTGTTTGGCTCCTTTTGCTGACAAATTATTTTTGTCTGGTTTTGATCTATTTCTATGGATAGATGCTTTATTGTATCTAGAAATGCAGCACCAAATGTTCTGCAGTATCTGAATGTGTATTC